TGGTTGCCCATCAGTTTTGTCCCTAGCAACTCCTGCTCTGCACAGATCCACCCACATCTGTGCTCAGGAGACATAGGGGGCCCTTTTCCCTTGTGTCTACTTGCTTTAGCACCTTTCGAACCTTATTTACTTGTTGGTCTAAATCATTTAAATCGCCTGCCTCATACAGGTCATGCCTGACCATAGGGGCTTAGCATTGCTACCAAAGCTGCATACCAGTCTCGTGGGCCTTGCTGAATCAGTTTCTTTCTTACGTCTCCTGTAAACACAGTCCTGTCTGGGCCTGTGACCTGGGCATCAAATACAGCTTCCTGCATGCCCAATTCCCTCAACAGAGCCTGTCCTTCCTCAATGGTTTTCCAATCTCTAATATTCATGGGAATCTCAGCTGGGGATAACCACATGTCCCTAATGGCTCGTATGAGCCAATCCATCATGGACTGGTTTCCCTCATGTTTCCTTAAATTGTGAAGTCTTTGTCTCAAAGAGGGATGAGTGGTTATGTTGCTTAACTTCTCTGCTTCTTTAATCAACGTCCCCGATGGTTAAAATGATTCCACCTGCCCCCATGTCCCATAGCTTCACAAACCAGGTGGCCAAAGGCTCCTTCATTGCTTGTTTAAATGTCTTTCTCAGTTCTAACAGCTCTGGTGCTGAGTATTATCTGATTACCACAGTCTTCTGCACTGGGCTACTGTTAAGACCTCCATCAGCATGTTGGACCATGGATTTTCCCTTTCTTTGAATTAAAGGTCAGACCTGAGGAGCATCTCCCACTATCTCTAGGTCACTTCCTTCTTCCTCACTACCTGACTCTTCCCAGGGGTTCCAGGTTTTAGGGTCCCAGGATGGGTCTTGTATTATCATTCTGATCTGGGTTTTTTTTTTTTTCCCTTTTGACCTCCTAGATGTAAAAAAACGGTACGCCAACACCTCCATCTCCTTTTCTCTCTTATCTAATTCACTGGCAAGGTCAGAGGCCAGTACTGATGAGGCCAGCCTCATATCCCTCTCTTGCTCTAATTCTTCTCTAACACCTTCAGTTTCCTTTCAGGCTAAGGCCTCCGCTTGGAACAGATTTCTTATTACTGATAGCAGTGGCCAACCAGCCTCTGCAGCCACTTGTTGACATTTCTGTCCCTGGTGTGCTTCTCCCAGAGTTTGCAAAATCTGTTCTAGAACTTCTGCTGTTTTCAAGGTATCTCCATACTCACGTGGCAGCCCCCACTGGTCAAGCAGGCATGCCACCCATACCATCTACCAGACAGCTGCCACCCAAGGATTTCTCCCATTGACCTCATCTGCTTAGGTGGCCTTACCCTACTTACACATTTCACTATCCACTGAATTAACCATGCCACTGCAGTTACCCCCACCAAGCCTATGGGAGTGGCCCACCAGGTTAACATTTCCTCAGCCCACACTCTCCCCTCACCCCTCTTTACTTCAGTTGCTGTTCTCTTTCCCCACATCAGGGACATCATCACTGCTCTTCCAAAACTCATTTTCAGTTTTGTCATAGCCTACCAGCTACGCCAATTGTAAAGTCAAATTCACTGCTGGAAGGTGCATGTGGTGCCTGATTCCCTCCTCCCACTGTCCTTACAATAACCTGAGGCAAGAGTTTTCCAAAGCTGCTGTTTGGAGAATCTTAACAAGTCTATTGGATTGGTAACTCAGCTTGCGGGGGCTGGTTTACTTACAGAAGAGTGGGCGCCTCCCCCCCACTCATGGCTATGCCTGAAAGTCCACACCCAAACATAAATCCTGTGGCTTCCCTTCAGCCACACACAATAACAAGAGACCGACCTTGTGGTTTTCTTGGCTTATATATCCATAGCCCCTCCCCTTCATGCAGCTAAGGTCAGCCGATTGGGTGGGAGAGGTAATGGACTTGACTCCTTCCTCAGAGTGTGAGAAGGAAATGGGATTATGGCTTGTCTTCATAGGGTCAGAGGAACTTCCGGGTCACAGTCTGTCTCAAAATAAACCAACTATATACAGTGATTCTTGACTTTCTCTCCCCATATAATCAACATAACATACACACATACACTCACACACATAAACATAAGGATACATGTGTATATATGTATATATGAACTGAATCCCTAATCATGTATGTATATGAATACCGAGTGTGGGGGCATATATAAGGTCATGGGGATTCATGAGCCTCAGTGTTCTCCATTTCTCTTTGGTGGACAGTGGTCACTATATTCTGGTCATTTTTCTTGGCAGAAGGTTGGAATATGAATGATCAATTATTTTTTAACCTTAAGCAGTCACAAGGCAGATGTCTTCCATACACTGGTGAGATTCTTAGGTAGCACATATGTTTTGTGTTCCAATGGACATATCAAGGCATCTTCCAACTATTCACTCCACATTTATAAAGCAGCAACCAGGTACCAGGTCCAGACAGAAAGCCATGTAGAATCGCCTTCTCCCCCTTGCCTTTGCAATTGGATTGCCACAAAATGCAACATTTTGGTAGGAAGTTGAACTCCAAATTATAGTCAAACATACAAAAGAATGCTCCCAACAATCTTCTGGGATCCTAATGGAGAACTACATCCAAGATTTATCTGAGTGACCTATAATTCAATAACTATCAGTAAAGCTGTCATATCTCCAACAATGTTTTTGAAACTCTTATTATTTAATTTGTTCTTCCTGTATAATCAACCCATTGTTATAGGCATGCATTCCAAATTGCATAATATTTCTTGTTTAAATATTTACCAAATTGCACGGTATTTCTTCATGCTTAAAATAGATCACCTACTTTTTCTAGTCACTCAATTGCTGGAAAAAGTTACATTTACCACTGCTTTCACTGTCAGATAATGTAACTGGTGAAGGTTTTCCTCTGTCCTAGTCATCTCAAAGGAAAGAACCCAGTGGAGACAGAATAGTTTAAACAGAAGTTTATTTGGCAAAACATGCACTATAATCAGGTTAGAGAAGACTGTCCTAAAGGGGGATGGTGGCAGCTCAACAGGTTTGTGTTGCAGATTTTTAAGCTTTTAACGAATATTTACGAGGCGAGTGGCATATTCATAGGGTAAAGTAACCCTTTTTTCCCTCCCAAACCACCGTGGACAAGATCTCCCTTTGGGGGCATTTCTCCCTGTGATCCTTTAAAGAAATCTATGGAGGGAGTGTCAAAATTATCTTGTAAATAATACACCACTCTTTTGAGGGTGTATTTGTTCACATGAGTGGCAACTGGGAAAGTTCCCCAGCACATTAGTTTCTGCCCTAAAGGAAAGAACAAGTGTGCAGCTCTAAGGATTTTAACCACAAAGGTGCATTCTGACCATCAAGACACAACTACCAGAACACAGCTGCAGTTTCCTTAACCCTTCACATCGAACTCCCTGCCTGACCAGGACACACAGCAACCAAGATTCAGCTGTATCTATCTGTGTGATTATCACATATCTAACTCCTTTCTTGCTTAGTATTAATAAGATTTCTAGTTTCTGATGAATGGAGCCTGGTAAGTCTGAAAAAAACCCACTGGGTAACATTTATAGCAAGAGAAAAGACTGCATTTTCAAACTAGTGTGTACTCAATGGGATTTTTTATTTCATTACAACATACTTTTCATTTGAAGGAAGTTGCTGACTGCACCCCATATTCTTTAACATTTTTTCATTATTTTCACTTTAAAATTACTCTTGGGAATTAAAGGCCAGTGGCTGCTAAATAAAAGGAAACTTTCAAAAATGCAAGTGATCTATTAGTCATACTCCTAAAAGTGGAGCTTTGAATTATTCATCTTCAAACATTCTGAGATACAGGAGCACAGGACAATTATCACACCACTCACTGGCCACCAAAAGGAAAAGTGACAGCTATACTCCTGAATCCCCATCTGGATCCTGCATCAGGAGCCACTAGAAAAAGTCTTATTCATCATACCTGTTTTCCATATGGGAAAACCAAGCCCCAAGGGCACAAGATGCCAAAGCCAGATATGAAAGCAGCCGCAGTGGGGATCTGGGTCTCAAGGCCAGGGCCTTTGCTACTCCGTTGTATTGTTCCAGTATTGATTTCCTCTGTGTTGTAATGAATCACCACAAACCAGTTGGTTTGAAACAATAAATATTCATCTTCTCTCAGTTCCGGAAGTCAGAAACCCAAAATTCAACTGGCAGATCTATGCTCCTGTGAAGATTCTAGGGAAGAAGTTTCCTGGCTTCTTCATCCAGACCTTCCTTAGCTTAGAGCCTGTCACTTTTGTCTGCCTGTCTTTCTCCATGGGGCCTTCTGTGCTCCCTGCCTCTTCTTTCTTTTCCCTTATAAAGGCACTTGCCATTGGATTTGGAGCACTCTTAGACAATCCAAAACAATATTATCTTCAGCTCCTTAATCTAATTACATCTGTAAAGACCCTTTTTAAAAAAATAAGGTCACACATGGTCCAAGGGTTAGAATGTGGACATATCTTTTGGGGAGGGGACCACAATTCAACCCTTTATTTTATACTGAAGTTGTAACCGTTATATCCTTTGTTGTTGTTGTTTTTTTAATATTTTATCCATTATTAATGATTGGCAATCTTTTTTTCTTCTTCCTATTTACAAACACATATACTGAATTTTGAATTCTGGCTCTGTCAATCACTAACATGATGAGCTTTTTATCCATCTTTTGTAAGCTTCATTTGCACTAGCCTAAAATGTGAATAGTAATTTCCGTTTCTTAGAGTGCTTTTGAAAATCAGTAAGCAAAGTGCTTAGCAAATCCTCTAGAAAGAGTCAAGGCTCAGTAAAATCCAGCTAATTCTTAAATTAGAAGAATATTCATGAAGACTTATCTATTGCTTACAAAATGTGTGTGTGCCTTTGGTGTCCACAGAGGGACACAATTACAGCAGCTAGAAACTTTTCTGGTGCCAACTTGCAAGAACAGCCTCATTGCTGAGTGTTGACTCCAGGGCCTGCAAGGCAGCGGAGGGAATTCCCGGGATTCTCTGAATTGTTGCTCTCCCAACCCACATCCTGCCTCTTCCCATCTGCAGTGGAGGGCAGACCAAGGCAACATCCTGGTACCAGACTAGAGAGATTATCCCAGCCGCCATGGGACTGGTGCCTTCGGATTTAACCAGCTTGAGGCAGCAAAACTCAGGGTTAGTGCATTTGTGGTTAAACGCGGGTTCCTGAGGGGGTTGGGGTAGGACGAAAAAGGGGTGTTAAGGTCTAGAGGGCTGCCAAATTTGAGTGAGGCACCTTCTGGATCCAGAAATTTGTCCTGAAGCAAAGAATTGGAATAGCCAAATGTCTGACAAAGCAACAAAATGGATTTCTGAAAAATGTTTGGGTTTTTCCAAACAAATGAAGGCTAAAATAATCATACCACACTTTTAAAGTGACAATGGTTTGCTGGCCACACATGAATATTCTGCATTTACTATTAGCTTGTTTTCTAGCTTAATCTTGTTATGAGGAAATCAGATATCTAAAAATATGGTTTCCTACCATTATTATACAGAATACATCTACCCCACATATATATGACTTGTTGGAGGGAAGTGGGTACAAATTCTGAACTCATTTAATGATTATTTCTAGTGGGTAATCAATGAAGAACTGAACACATGGATGTTGCTTTTTGAAGTAAGCAAGTCTAATACTTAGAGCAGCACAAACAAGAC